TTTAATCCTAGAGGCAGGCAGATCTCTGAGATCAAGGCCAGCCTGGTCTACAAAGAGTTCCAGGGCCCACTGGGGTTACAGGAAGACCCTGTCTCAAAAAGACCAAAAAAAAAAAAAAAAAAAAGCAGCTCTGCAAATACCAATAATACGACTGTGTATGTTAAAAAGGGTAGTTGCCCAACCATGGTTCCAACCCAGGGGGGTTTCCGGCCCAAAGGCATAAACTAGGGACTAGGGAGATAGTTCAGCTGGGAAAGTGCTTGCTAAGCAAGTCTGAGGATCTGAATTTGATCTCCAGAGCCCACATAAAAAGCCAGGCACGGTGGCAAGTGCTTTGTAACTCCAGAGCTGGGAAAGATAGGAGAGTCCCTGGAACATGGCAGAGGAGAAATGACATTCAAGTTTGACCACTGGCCTCTATACACACACACACACACACACACACAGAGAGAGAGAGAGAGAGAGAGAGACACACACACACACACCCCTACACTGCATATACACATACATACACATTAACATGCACCTGACATACACAGACAAAAGGCAGAGACTCAAGTTAAAGTTTACATTCCATTCCCGCCATACACCATTCATAACTAGCCTTGACACATCACATAGCTTACTCAGCCTCAGTATTACTTATTCTTAAAACAAGGATATGAGGACTTACTTCACAGGGAAGTCAGAATAATTATAGGAGATAGAGCACAGAGTGCTTGATACAGTGCCTGACACATGGGGCCAAGTAAATGCTAATTATTCCCAACACCATCACTATCATTCAGGGAGTTTTCAAGATGCTTTTCCTGGACTTTACTTGGCCATTATGTATAAACACAGCATCACATTATAAGAGAAAACAGTGCCTGTATGCATTTCAAAGCCAAACCCATAATCTTGCCTTTGATTCATTATTTATTCAGGGATGGATTGCACAATAGTTGAGATTATTTTAGATGGAGACCCTTTTCCTCTTAAAAGTGTTTTTTAAATGGCATACATGTAATGCCTTTGAAGTTTTATGGTGTTTTTACTATGAATAATAAAAGAACCCAGAACACTGACTTGTTTCTTCTACGTTCTACAGATTTATTTTCCTAAGACACATGAAATATTTATGTTGCTTTTCTCTCTCCAAAATCAATAAATCATTTGAAAGATTTTTAGCCAAGGTCAGACATCATATTACCACCCACAGTGGACTGTCACCAATCTGCCTCAAAGGGCATAACTCCAAGGGCCACATGTCATTCACTGCCTTCATTACCCCTTGCCCCATTCATGTCTCTCAAACAGTCTCTGTGAGAGCAAAATTTTGTCCTGCACACTGACAAGCAGGTAGATCCCTCATTGAAGAACAAGGCTCCCAAGGGTAGCTGAAAGCCACAGGAATACTCTGCACAAAGCTGAGAAGCTATGTGACTCAGGAGGGCAGGACAGTCCCTTAAAGGACACACTGAAGACTGAGTTCATGGTGCCACATCTGGTAAGTAGGGGAAGGATTTCAATGACAAATCCCAAGTGGACAAAAGTGATTCCATAGAAAATAAAATAAGCAGAGCACAAACTGTGAAAGAAATGGTGTTTAAGCATAACACAGAGACTACAAAATAGAAACAAATACCAGTCCACAGCAAGACATTTAAAGCTGAAGTTCAGACACCATTCTGAGGATAACTGCTTTGATTTTTACTTCATTATTATATTTACTTTGTTTGTTTACGACAGAGTCTCCTTGTAGCCCCAGTTGGCCTGGACCAAGCTGACCTTGATCTCACAGCAATCTACCTGCCTCTCCCTCTGCCTCCCAAACGCTAGGATTAAAAGGGAACAGCACTATGCCCAGTCTTTTTATTTTCTTTTTGAATGAAAATGAAAACAGGTGATAAGGATGTTTTTATATTGTCATTAACATATTTATTATCTATCTGCATTTGCAAAATATTCTTTAATAGAAAATGTTTATTATTTGTTTATTGAGACAAATACTGTAGAGCAAGGGTCCCCCGGCCTCAGCCTCCAGGTCCGCACCATTACACGCAAATCTTTACTTTTATTTTTGACAAGATTTTTTTAAAAAATGATTATGATCAGTCACCTAACTGTAAACACAGGACAATCTAGTAAAGCATCTATAGAAACAAACTGACATGGGTTCCCTGGCTACATAAAAAGGAGGGCTCTGCCTGAGCAGGAGCATTCACCCTTCTCTGCTTCCAGACTGCAATGTGACCAGCTCCCTCAAGCTGCAGGACTTCCCTGACAAAATAAATCCTTTCTTCCTTAAGTTGCTTTCCTTGGGGTATTTTATCACAGCAACAGGAACCATAATGAGACACTATTAGAATCCTTCACAGAGCCTTCACCGCTCACCTAGGCCCTCTTCTTTCAGTACTGCCCACTGAACTGAGCCATGCTATTTGCCAGGATTGTGTCCGAAGACAGAAGAAACACCATTCACTGGTTCCTCTGGTTTTTCTTACAGAGCTGCCCAGTCCACTCCAATATATTAAAAGGATCCATGGGAAAATTCTGTTTCAGATCTCAATGCTATTAAACAGCTGTTAGAACCAGAAACTCGTTTCAATTTTCAGGGCACTGAGGACCTTGTCATTGGTCTTTCATTGATTTGTTTGAAGCTGAGACTCATCAATAGGCTTCCTTCAGGACCTTATGACATGTGTGCCTGCACCTGGGACTCCCCACTCCCTCTTGTTCCTCCTCCCACTACCTGAGGTTTGCTTCTTCCTCCTCCTCCTCCCCTCCCATCCCCAACTCCCAATAATTTAAATTTTTGGAAATACGTAGGGATGAGGAAGAATGTAGGCAAAGCAATGAATCAAAAATGAAAACTTAAATATACCCTGGTGAACACCAGGTCTTCTTTGGAGACTTCCACCCATGTGACTTGCCTAGAGGACAAGGAAAGTGCAACATCACTGTCTCTGCTGTCTCCTACAGGGATATCCAGCCCTTCTGTGCATGACACAACCGGAAGCCCCCTTCTACTTTCTGCCCACCAGCTGTAAAATGACTGGGCAGCTCATGTGGGTGCAGGAGTACAGTGCCCTGGCTGATGACACCCTGATGAAGGGCACAGGTCCTGGAGTCAGACCACCTGAGTTCCATCCTGCCTATTCTATCCAGCACCATCCTGCTGGCTGTGACCTGAGTTCACCTTTCTGTGTCTTGCCCTCATTTCCCCTCTGTGCCATGGGAACAAAAATGGTGCTGACCTAATAAGGTTGTTGAGAGGAATGAATGAGTTCAAACACGTACAGGTGACTAGGCCAGTGCCTAGCATACAGTAAATGTGGGCCAGTACTATAATCGAGCATTCAAGTAAGCCAGCACACACACTTCCATGTCTCACTGACGCTAAAATTTCTCATTGTAAGTTACTAAACCAACAAACTAATTTCCATGGTAACTTTAAGTCTCACTTATAAATCAATATGGCGTCAAAAGTTCTCTCTAAACAGCAAAAATGTTTAGCAATGTGTTTTCTGGTTTGCTAGAAAGGAGAAAGCAGAGATGTCACACAACAAATAGTTCCCAGAGTACATCCACAGTTAGTAATGATCCTTAAACCACACCCATGGGTGCAGGAACACAAAACGTTCACAATCAGGCACACAAAGGAACATTCCAGTCCTTATCCCAGTAGGAGCAATAGACCACTTACTATGTCTAGAGGGATAAAAAACTTCAAGGATTGATTCACAGAACATTTTTCAAAATCAAGTACTTTGTTTAGCAATCAAAGAACTCAGCTTGTTGGATATTTAAGGTCCAGATTTACACCTGTGTTTACAAACCTGCCACCTCATACATATGCATCTAAATTGCAAATCGCCAACTTCCACATTTCACATCTAAGGCAGCCTCAACACCTTCCCCAACTCAGTACCGGGCAAAGCCAGTCGGAACCACTTCCTCATACCCAGCCCTGCAAAATGTAAGAATTTAAAGAATGACTATTTCACATATGTGTGCACACTATTTTCAAATTCAGAGACTTCACAGAGCCACTGTATGATTGCAAAACAAAAGTGGATAATTATGAAAGGTGGAGTGCTTCGCGTATTTTTTACATCAAGGGGAAAAAACACTGAAGCAGTGTAGGCTGCTATAGAAGTTGATGTAAATAGCTCAAGTTTCAGCCTTTGCTGAAGTTGAAGGAGGATGGAAGAGAAAAAACCGAAATTCGTCTTTTATCTCTCGATTCCTGCAATTACCTATCCAAATATATGCAACTACGATTTAATTACGGCGAACCGAAATAACCTCAGTCCCTTTAAATTCTCTCGTTTCTCCACATCACAGGAAATGTTCTAACTGTAAAACAGTGAACAAGGAAGACTGCTCAAGAAGACTGTTCGCAAGAACTTCCTACTCTCTCCAGTCTGGCTCGCCGAGGTCATCCAGGCAGCCGAAGCAAAGCGCACGGACGCACAGTAAAGTGACAATTCGAATGGTCACAGCTGGGACCGCTCGGCCGCAGCCGGGGTTCTCTATCCCGGAGCCCGCGTGCTGTGCGGCGAAGTTCCGCGGGGATCCCGGGGCATCGCGAACGCCGCTCCGCCGAAGCCCGGAGGAGGCGGGGGCAAACCCCACCCAGCCACAGCGCACTTCCCGTTCGCCGGCCGGTCAAGAACTCCAGCTTGACAGAGACACCCCAGGAAAGAGGAAGTGAGCTATCTTTCTAAGCAGTTAGCACAGTCTTTAAAAGAAATCCACCGCCCTGTCCCGGGAAGCTTCCGCGGGAGGCTGACGCCACACCCGCGGGAAAGTCGCGGCGACTGCGTGCGAAGTCCGAGGGTGACTCCGCGGGCACCCGGCCCTCAGTCCCCGCAGCCGCGCGGACAGGACACCCGGGGCTCAGGTGTCCGCAGCCCGGGGCTGCGGCGACCGCACCCGGGGGAAGGCCCGCGGTCCCAGCCGGGTCGCGAGCCGCCCGCCCTGGGACCCGGAGGCGCAGAGCTCGGAGCTCTTACCTGGTTTGACCGGTTTGGGAGGCGGCTTGGACATGGCGCTTCCCGGAGCGGCGGCCTCAGCCGGCGCGCAACCCCTACAAGCGCACCGGCACCCGGCGCCCAAGCCTCAGCCGGCGCTCGCCGCGGCTTCGGGACCCGCGAGCAAGCCTGTGCGGGACGCGCAGACCAAGCCAGCTCCGCCGCCTGGCACCGCCCGGCACCGCCCACCAGGAAGTGGCCGCGCCTCGCGGGCCTCTGATTGGCTAAAGAGGCACTTCGCCGCGGCGGGGCGGGGCGCACGGCGGCAGGACCCCGCAGAGTCCAGCTCCGGCGCCGGAGCGCTAGCTGAAGGCCGAGCCCTTTCGAGCGCGCGCCGGAGCCCCGCCCACCGCGCCCTAGTGGGAGGGGCCTCCTGGAGGCCACGCCCATAGGCCCTCTGCTGGGGGAGCCGCTAGAGAGCGGAGGAAGGTGAAGAGCGTCCTCAGAGGCGCACTCTGCAGCTGGGCTAGGAAGATCTCGAACCCGCACCCGGTGAGTACCCACCTGCCACCGTGCCCTGGTCTGGGAGCACCTCGACAGGGTTCCTGCGCCCGACGGGGAACTGGGTTGAGTCCAGGGCTGCCTCCAGGAGACCACGCATTTGTTGGGAGGAAGATCAGGTCTGGATCCACACTGGCCAAGACGTCCTTCCTCCAGAATCGTGTTGACAAACTCCAGTTCGTTTGCTGCCTGTTTGTGTAAAGCCTTAATAATGCTTTTGGTATTTTTAATGGCTGAGAAAAAAGCAGAAGAATAGCATTTTGTGGTACGCGAAAGTTAGCTTTCAGTGTCCATAAAGTTTTATTAGAGCACACAATGCTCATTTGCTTATGCATTGTGGCCATCGTCTCATTTCAACCTCAAAGTTGAATAGTTGCCCACAAAGCCAAAACCATGTACCATGTGGCCCAACTTTACAGAAGTTTGCCCAACTCTGACCTAACAGTGAATCTCCTGCGAGATGAGGGCTGGAGCATACATAGACTTGCAATGGTATAATTAGTATTGTAAACCTACTGTGTGTGGAAGGAAAGAAAAAGATGAAAATACTGCCGGGTGTGGTGGCGCACGCCTTTAATCCCAGCACTCGGGAGCCAGAGGCAGGCGGATCCCTGTGAGTTAAAGGCCAGCCTGGTCTACATAGTGAGTTCCAGGCCAGCTGGGGCAACAGGGAGACCCTGTCTCAAAAAGACCAAAAAAAAAAAAAAAAAAATCTTTAAAAAAAAACAGAAATACTGGAGGAAGTGACGCATGCCTTTTCCCAGCACTGGGGAGTCAGAGGCAGGTGGATCTCTGTGAGACCAAGGTCAGCCTGGTTTACATATCAAGTCCCAGACCAGCTGGGGCTATAAGAAAACCCTATCTCAAAAATAATTAAATTTAATTAAATTTATTTAATTAAAATAAATTTAAAAACCTACACAGCTGGTGGGGATGGTTCAGCTGACAAAAGGTGCTTGTAGCCAGACCGGAAGACCTGAGTTCTATCCCCAGGACCCACATGATGGAACAAGAGAACTAACTCCCACAAGTTGTCTGACCTCCACATACATGGCAGAAAATAAAAATGTAAAAAAAGAATTTTTCTTAAAAAAAAGAGCCTATATAAAATGAAGCATCAAAGTGTCTGCTGAAGTTGAGGGGCAGTGTTGTTTTTTAAAAAAAAAAAGCAAGTCTAACTGAAGAGCAGCAGCATGGGTTACCCCAAACGCCAGCCTGGGGAGAGTTCTGTTTACCAAAGGGGATCAAAGTTTAAAGAAGTAGGAAGAGACTGCCCTGTGTTATAGAAAAGTATTCAGAATATCTGTTAAATAAGGTACGTGAATGAGAAGTCCTACAAAACATTTCACTCCTGAGATTCCAGACTGCGCTTGGACATTTAATTTGACTTCTCTCTCAGACTTTGTCAGGACATTATTGTCTCCTTTCAGCATGCTGATTCATTACATGGCCCTGAGAACCATTCTGTAGTTTAAAGTCCAAAATGGGGGTGGAGAGAGGACTCAGCAATTAAGAGGACCCAGGTTCTGTTCCCAGCACCCATGTAGCAGCTAACAACCATCTGAAATTCCAGTTTCAGGAAATCTGACACCGTTTTCTGACCTCCACAGGCGCTGCATGACACAGGTGAACTTACATACATTCAGGCAAAACAGACACATAAAATAAAAATAAATTTAAAAAAAAAGAATTTTAGAATCCAAAATGTTCTATTTTTAGGAGTCAAATGAGTTAAAGATGAACATGAGCCAATTATGAAGAAAAGACTCAACATTTATGTTTTAAAAAATAAGCCAGTCTTAGTGACACATGTCTGTAATTCCTGTACTCAGGAGATAGAGGAAGCCTTGGCTGCAGACATCCTTGGCTTCATAACAAGTTCCAGACCAAACTCTGCTGCATCAAGAGATTCTGTCTCAGGAATAAATGGAATTTGAACAAAAGTAAAAATGACTTATTTAAAAATTGCTATCTCACTCTTCTTTTCTCCCCCTATGTAAATATTCTCTGCCGCTGAGGAGAGCTTTGCACACACTGGGAAAATAAACTATAGAAATATTACAGGAGACCAAAGGTGGCACATATTTCCTAGTGATAGGATGCCCTGAACTGATAACATTGCAAAGTTCAAAAAGTTGTTTCTCCAGAGATATAAGATTTCCAGTTTATAGTTGATCAAAGTTGTATTTGTTTCATAAAATATGCTACCACAAGGCCAAGCAGAGAAGCATACACCTGTAATCCCATTCCTGGGGCGATGGAAGCAGGAGGATCAGGAGTTCAAGGTCATCCATCCTCAGCTACATACATTGTCAATTCAAGGCCAAGCTGAGTCACATTAAAACCCTCTCAAAACAAAATAAGGTGCCAGAGAGATGACTCAGCTGTTAAGAGCACAGCTGCTCTCCCTGAGGTCCTAGGTTCAGTTCCCAACACCCACATGGCAGCTAACTATCATCCATAACTCCAGTTCCAGGGGATCTAATGCCCATTTCTGGCTTGTATGGGCATTGCACACATATGAGGCACTTACATACATGCATGCAAAACACTTATAAAAAGAAATAATTTTAAAAACAAAATTGCAACATATATTTGGAGCATGGCAACTCTTGATTGAAAGTTTTTTTTTCATTTGGTTTTTAAACCATTTTCAACAAGAGGACTAACAGCTAATGAAATAGAATGATGTGGAAGTTGATGGTGCCCAAACTTGAAGTTCCCATGAATCAGCCCTATTCATACCACAGATTGCTTTTGCTTTTGTTTATGTTTTCATTTTAAATGTATGAATGTTATGTCTACATATGTGTAAGTGCACCATGCCATGCGGTGCCCAACGAGGACAGAAGAGGGCATCGGATCCCCTGGAACTGGAGTTACAGATAGTTGTTAGCTGACATGTGGGGGCTAGAATTCAAACCTGGGTCTTCTACAAGAACAACCAGTGCTCTTAACTGCTGAGCCATCTCCAATCCCCATCAACACACTGTTTTTGAAATGAGCAGCTTCACAGATTGGTAAGCCTCTGCCCACCAGCTTGGGACATGAAGTTTAATAGCAAGTACCCTTACCTGCTGAACCATGGGGCAGCAGTGCGGGTGGGGGAGCTGCTGTTTTGGAGACAGTGAGCAGCCTTGCATTTTCATGAATTTGGCTGTGGGCATTCTCTCCCTTTCTCCCCCAAGGGATCTTATAAGTAGGCCCTTGACGCTACACCACTCCTTGTTTCTGAATTGCTGGAGTACCCATGTTAGTAACTCCCTCAAGTCTGCTTCTAGTGCCACAATCACAGTCATTATTTACATGCTATGTAATTGAGGCAGCATCCTCATGTGTATGCATAGATGTGGCTGTCAGGAAAGGAACCAATCCTTTCCATTCACTGGGCACAGCAAATGTATGGCCCATCCATAATACATCAGTTATCCATCAGAGCCTGACAAGCTAGGGCATGTGCAACATCCTTGTTGTGCTCTTGGTTATAAAGTGTTTTATAGCAGCCAGCGATGATGAAAGATGTTCACTTAATTGATTTTGTTTCATTTTTGGCTTTTCCATTTTCCAGCTCTGTCACCTCAGGCATGTCATTTCCAGTCTGGGCCAGTTTTCACTTCTGCAAAGCCTGAGAATTTACACTATACCAATACAGAAAGAGAGAGGGTGGGAGGGAGGCTCCTGTTTGCCTCTGCCTCTGGCTAGCTGTGCTTTTCTTTCTTTTTTACAGAGAAAAAACAAAAGAAAGTCTAGACAGAGAAGTCTCTACATCCAGAGAAATGGGTCACCTTTTCAGGATTTCAACTCTAGAAGCTAAATGATACCAACTTGACTTTTTTCTTTTTTTAGGAAGTATTAGGAAGTTGTGATTTTTCAAAGCCAATTATGAAAACATTTGTCATTGGAATTGGAGGGTGAGTAATTTTACAACAAACAAATAGCTGGGCAAGACACTTTGGATGCCTACGTGGTGTTTCATGTGGACATGAAACTTGGGAAAACTTGGGGGAGTTCCCAAGTCCTGCAGGGAGTGGCACCTTGGAGTGCTGCTGTGTGACTACCAACAGAGAGTTAAAGGTCATCCAGGGAGGGAAGAGCCAGTCCGTAGCATCACCTACTTTTTTGTTTGTTTTCTGGAGCTGACACTGGAGGGGAGGCCTGTTGAGGGTGACTATCATTTTCCATGTGGGTGCTTTGGCATGACATAAGAAAATCATTCCTGGGGCTGGAGAGATGGCCCAGTGGTTAAGAGCACTGGCTACTCTTGCAGAAGACTGGGGTTCAGTTCCCAGCACCCACATAGCAGTTAACAACCATCCATAACTCCAGTTCCAGGGGATCTGACACCCTCTTCCGACATCCATGGGCATTGCATGACACGGGTGTACCTACATACATGCAGGCAATACACTCACACACATAAGTGAAAATAATTAATAAAATATTTCAAAAAGAAAATCATTCCTTTTTATGCCCACCTTTGGACACAAGGATACCGACAGCCTCACCTCCACTCCTCTTCCCCCACACTTAGGTGGCCAAGTGCCCTGGTTGCCCAGGCTAGTCTGTGTTGCCCTGGCATAATAATTAGCTATGCATCCCTCTCTCACAAGTGCCCTAAATTGTGTCATCATCCTTCCTGTGGCACCAAAGGGTATGTGCAACTTAGACATCAACAGTAATTGAAAAAGACAGTATCTGTTTTACTACCATATTGTGTTCATCTTTCTTCATGTGAGCCCTAGTAATAAAATATTTGATGTATTAAAAATATAACTTGAGGGATGTAATTCATTGGGTTGTTATATTACATTATAAAGGAAGTCATCAATGAGGAGTCAAACAGGACTGGGTATAGCTCAGTGGTAGAGCATTTGCGTAGCATGTGTGAGGCTCTGGGCTCTAACCTCAGCAGGACAAAAAGAAAGAAGCAAAGTAAAGGGCTGGAGAGATGGCTTCACAGTTGAGAGCACCGGCCGCTCTTGCAGAGGACCTGGGTTCAGTTCCCAGCACACACGTAGTAGCTGACAACCATCCTAAAGCCAGTTCTAGGGAATCTGATGCCCTCTTCTGGCTTCTGCAGGCATAACATGACACAGGCACACTTACATACATGCAGGCAAAACACTCATATACATAAAATAAAAATAAATCCAAACAATTTTAAAAGAAAAAAAAAGAGGGCTGGAGAGATGGTTCAGTGGTTAAGAACACTGGCTGTTCTTGTGGAAGACCCAGGTTTGAATCCTAGCACCCACATGGCAGCTAACAGCTGTCCATAACTCCAGTCCCAGGGGATCTGACACCCTCTTCTGACCTCCACAGGCACTGCACGACACAGGTGCACCTACCTACATGCAGGCAATACACATATACACATAAAATAAAAAAACAAGTAAAATTTTTAAAAAAAGAAAAAACTAAAATAGAGTACATTACTGGACATTCTGATATGACTTGCCTTGGTCCTCACAGAACCAGAGCTCACTGTTGCTCTGGGACTTCTCTTGTCCTCCCTTTCTTTCCACCCTCTGATTTTAGGCAATCATTCCCTAGTTATAATCCTCTAAGGTTTCCTACACAAGTCTGTCAGTTTAATCCTCATATTAAAAATACCCATGCTAGGGCTGGAGAGATGGCTCAGCGGTTAAGAACACTGGCTGTTCTTGCAGAAGACCCGGGTTCGAATCCCAGCATCCACATGGCAGCTAACAACTGTCTGTAACTCCAGTTCCAAGGGATCCGACAGCCTCTTCTGTCCTCCAAGGGCATTGCACGACATGGGTGCACTTATGTACATGAAGGCATAACACTCATACACATAAAAAATAGAGTTAGACTTTGTCTTCCATTCCAGCAGCAAACAACTTTCCAGTTTCCTCATCTGGAATATAGGAATATTAGTATCACCCCGTTACGGGATTCTCCTCTTGTTTGAGTTACTGTAGATACATTTTTCACTTCACCCTATTCTCTACCCTCTTGTAACCTGTCATGTAAAAGAAAAAAAAAAAAAAAAGAAAGCCAGGAGCTGTTCATTTTGGGGTGTTGTAAACAAAAGAAGTGCACCTGTAGCCACTCACCTTTCCTAGGATAGAACAAACCCTGGGCTGGGCGCTAGGGGAGTGGGAAGCTTATGTGTACAAGGCACCTTGTAAGTCATAGGCGAAGGAGTGAGTCTTGAGACGTCAACTGACAAGGATGATTGCATTCCAAGTGCAAGCCACAGGCTCAGTCTTGAAGCCCTTTTTCTCCCCGGTGCTCTGTGATGGACTGTCTTCCAGCTAGGCCATGTGCTTCAGGACTCATAAAGAAGGGCCCTGCTTTCTCTTTGGCTTCAGCCAAATCAGTGGGAAGGGATCTATTTATTGTTGATTCAATTGTATGATTTGTTTTTAATGATGTTGTTATTTATACAAGTGTTTTGATGGCTGGTATATTTATTGGTATGTGTGTAGTGCCCACAGAGACTGGACGAGAGCAACAGAGTCAGAGTCACCATGTAGGTGCTGGGAGTCGAACCCAGGTCCTCTGGAAGAACAGCAAGTGCTCTTAACCCCTGAGCTGTCTCTCCAGCCCCAATTGTATGATATTAGAAAGGAAATGACACAACTTTCTTGCCAAATTTCTCAGACCATAATAAAACTACACCCTTTTACTATTTTAAACAAAAGCTCTGGATCTCATATATGGATTTTCAGTATGGTTTATAAACATTTTTGTTAAAGAAGAAAAGATCATGACCATGTTCTCAATATATAGGCTAATCCCCCACCTACTTCTTTTCCAAGAGATCACTCATATCCTATCTACCTGTGTATTATAAGGTTAAATGGAAAATCTTATTAATCAACTCTTCAGGTATTAAGCTGCTAATTTAATAATGCATAATGAACACTTTTGATGAATAAGTCTTAGGGTTTTTTTTTTTCCTCTCTATGTTGTAACATTGTGGTAGTGATCTCACCTAGGACTAAGCTCAGACTCTTGCCAAAAACATGTACAGTCAGGAGTTTTGTGCTGTGGACATTTGGTGGTGTGGGGAAATCTTGACCTTTTTTCAGGGCAGTGACTTTAAGTACACAATATAAAGTGCAGGACTATAAAGGAAATAAGCTATATTAAAATATAGTTATGAGCCAGCCATGGTGCTGCATGCCTTTGATCCCAGCACTTGGGAGGCAGAGGCAGGGAATTCCAGGCAGAGCCAGCCAGGGCTACACTGTGAGATCCTGTCTCCAAAAATAAAAAGTGAAAATAAAATATTTTAAAACAAATTTGTAACATTGTAGTATTTCATCACTTGTGTAATAAATAACAATATTCGTAAGTTTTAAGTAATAACAAGCATCGATGAGACTTCAAAGTACCTGCCCCAACTACCCCACTGGATGACTAGATGTAAGATTCATGTTGATGCCCGAGTCAAATCACAGGCTTTGTTACTACTATTGTTTATTACTTAGAATAAAAGGGGTTGGTAATTTTGTGTCCGATCTAGTGAAAATAAAGATGCAATACCTTTCCTTTCAAATTCACAATAACCCTGAATTGACTTGTTGGACCCTTTGGCAGTGACTGAACCCCAGGCTAAAAACCTCTCAGCAGAAATGGTTGAATAAGCCAAACTTGGTGGCTGACACTTGTAATCCCAATACTCAGGAGGTTAAGGCTTGCTGTAAGTTCAAGGCCTGCCTGGGCTCTACTGTTACTTAAAAATGAACACAGACTACAGAGGGAGCGTGTTTCAAAATAAAAACCAAAAGAAAAAGAAAAGACTGAATAGAGAAATGCCACCCATGTGCTACTCAGGGTCCTGGGGGCTGAGAAACAGGACACTCAAGTCATTAGTCAGGTACCCAGTCCCCTGGATGTCACAGTCCAGCCAGGGGAACAGACAGCCGAGCTGCTGTGGGCCCCCACCTAGACCCAGAAACAAAAAGTCCGGAAAGAAGTACTACACAGGAAATGTAGATTTGTGGGTGGGCAGGCTTATGTAAAAGCCATTCCTCTTTTTCCAGGGTTTGAAACAATCACTGTAACCATGGGCAGTTCTGTATACTTGCAATAAAATGTGCCACTTAAATTCTCTGTGGTGCATATCAAACCCTCACAGAGTCAAAAAATGTTTCACTTCTAACACAGTGTCTGTATTTTGAAGTTTTCGAGTCTAGTTTGCTGATCTGACAGTCATTGCCCTTCTCCACCCTTCTCTGCTTATATTACTAAGAAAACACAAATCTAGCCAGATGTGGTGGCACACACCTTGATTTCCAGCACTCAGGAGGCTGAGGCAGGCAGATCTCTTGTGAGATCAAGGCCAGTTGTAGCTTTAGTGAGTCTCAAACAAACAAACAAACAAGACAGTGTATCTATCAGGCCCATGATTTTGCCAGCAGTCAAAAACACAATTTGTTAAAAGTAGTATATTTCTTAAACAGTTAGTATTGTTTTAAATATCCTTTTTCTAAAAGGATCTTTGAAAATGTTCCATGTTCTCTAAATGTCTTTTTGGTACCTTGTTTCTTTTTCTTGGTTCAGTGTGACAAATGGTGGGAAGACTACACTGGCTAAGAACTTGCAGAAACACCTTCCAAATTGTAGCGTCATATCTCAGGATGACTTCTTCAAGGTATCTACAAAACTTCTTAGATAATTTATTTATCACAATAATTCATCATGAAGTCAATTAGATTGTATCCAAGGGGTAGATTCAGTGTTACCTGCCCACTAGATGGCACCATCTGCCAGTGCCAATCCTTGACCTCATTTTCCAAAACATTTATTAAAGGCTTATGTCTTTTGCATTTTATAATCACATCATTTCTGCCCTGTGTATTATTTTGATGGATACTTTATTATTTTTCCAGCCAGAGGCTGAGATAGAGACAGATGAAAATGGATTTTTGCAGTATGATGGTAAGTTGAGTCATTTGTAAAACATTATGAGCTTATGATCATTTTCTTTTTCAGATTCAAAGGGGTGGACAAGAGGATTAAGTGGGTAGAGGTGCTTGTCACACACATGACCACCTGATTTTGATCCCTAGAACCTTTGTAAAGGTGGAAGGAGAGAACTGATTGCACAAAGTTGTTCTCTGACCTCTACATGTCTGCTTGGCCTGCATGATGTCATCCTTCTCAAGAATCAACAAATACTATTTTTTAAAATTTTTAAATATGCTGCAAAGCCTACCTTTGTATGTTTCTGACTTATCTTCAACTCTTTAAATAAGTGGAAGCCTTCCCCCACATTTATATTTCACACTGAGAACTTTGGGGTGATGGATTGTTCTCTAACAGCTGGGCAAGATAGCTCAGCCATGCCCGCCACTCCCAACCTCACCCCACCAAAACATCTGACCTGCAACAAGCTAAGCTTTCTCGCTCCTAGCCTTCCTTCCTAGCAGCAAAGTAGTAAGAAGCTTGTTTATTTTCTTTTTCCTGCTCAGAAAGTCTTGGCATATTTTTTATATAGACTCACTTCATTCCCTTGCCCCAAGTAAACACTGTTTAAAGCCAAAGAATTAAAGTCAGCCAGACTGTTGTGTCCAGTGTTCTTACTGTCCTTTATAATTAGCAAGATATTCAGTGTGCATGCAGACCTACAGAGGGAGCACTCTTAAAAAGTCACGTTTGTTCTTTAACACCTCTTTCAAACACAAAATTTTCAGACAAAATCCTTTATTCACTCTTCTTGTCTTTAGTTTGTATCATGATACATTTTTTTTCCTCTCTTCCCAAAGTTTGAAATGTTTTTTGGTTTTGTTTTGGGGGCAGGGTCTCCCTGTAGCCCCATCTCTCACAGAACTCACTGTGTAGACCAGGCTGATCTTGATCTCACAGACATCAGTCTGCCTCTGCCTCCTGAGTGCTGGAATTAAAGGCATGTACCACCATGCCCTGTTTTAGAAAGATTTTTACAAAGAAGAATGAAGCCATGAAAAATTGATTTCAATGTTGACAAAAAAATATTCCTATTTATTAGGGAGCTCTTGCAAACTGCTACTAAAAATAATAATATCAAAAAATAGGGGCTGGAGAGATGGCCCAGCAGTTAAGAGCATTGACTGCTCTTGCAGAGGACCCGGGTTCAAGTCCCAGCACCCACATGGCAGCTGCGAACCGTCCTTAACTCCAGTTCCAGGGGAATCCAAAGCCGTCTTCTGACCTCCACAGCATTGCACAACATGGGTGCACTCACTTACATGCAGGCAATATACTCATACACATAAAATAAAAATAATAAAATAGTTTTTAAAAAATAGTAATATCCCAGTAGAAAAAAATGGTAACATAAGTAAGCTATTCAAAAAAGCAGG